TACCAACAACCCAAAGAATCACTTTCATGCAGCTTTGCCATGACACAAAATCAGCAGGGCATTTTGGATTTGTAAAAACTTTACATTTAATTAAACGGCAATTTTGGTGGCCATCAATAAAAAAGGACATAGAAAGTTATGTTGCCAGCTGCCCAACATGTGCATCTGCAAAGAGGTTGCAAGGGAAATCGCCAGGACTATTACAACCAGTGGCAAATCCCTCAGCCCCCTGGAGGGAAATAGCCATGGATTTTATAGTGGAATTGCCAGAAAGCAATGGGAATACTGTTATCTGGACAGTCACGGACTTGTTTTCCAAACAGGTGCACTTTATCCCTTGCCAAAAGATTCCCACTGCAAAGGCCTTAGCAAAACTTTTCATCCAGCACATTTACAGATTGCACGGGGCACCCCAACGCATCATCTCTGATAGGGGAGTGCAATTTACATCTGCATTTTGGAAGGAATTTTTATCCCTCTTAGGGACCACTCAGGGACTGACATCTAGCCATCACCCTCAGACAGATGGACAAACGGAACGGTGCCATTCAGTACTTGAGCAATATTTGAGATGTTTTTTAAATTTCCAACAGAGTGATTGGACAGACTTACTCCCTTTTGCAGAAGTTGCCTACAATAATGCAGTCCACTCCAGCACAGGCTACACTCCTTTTCAAATAGCCAACGGTCAAAGTTTCAGCCCCATGCCAGAATTAACCCCAAACGAACCAATGATCCCATCACTGAAAGAATGGATGGAAAAACTACAAAACACTTGGCCAATAGTTAGAAAAGCACTAGATGAAGCTAGGCAGGCATACAAAGCACAAGCCAATAAAAAAGGGGTTGAGCCTACACCATTCATTATAGGAGAAATGGTGTACTTATCTACAAAATATCTAAAGTCCCTACAGCCCTGTAAAAAACTTGGACCAAAATATATAGGACCTTTTCCAATTAAAAGAATCATAAATCCAGTAACAGTAGAATTAGAATTACCCAAAAATCTCAGGCAAATACACCCAATTTTTCATTGCAGCTTGCTGAAAAGAGAGCATCAGTCACCTCTACGGCCAAAAATCTCCCCCCCACCACCTCCAATCATGGTGGAGGGCAAACAACACTTCGAAATAAAGGAAATCCTTGACTCTAGGAGATATCATGGAGCAACTCAGTACCTAGTTGCCTGGAAACACCTCCCTCCCTCACAAAACTAGTGGGTCCATAAACGTCATGTCAGAGCCCCGAAGGTATTGAAGAAGTTTCACACAGAGTATCCTAACAAGCCTGACTAACCTTTATACCTGTTTTGTTTCTTCCAGGTGGATCTCTCTTATTTTTGAGGGGGCCAGATGTCAGAATCCAATTATATTTCATCTTTAGTTATCAAATATAGAAAACCCCAATTCTGCCTTCTCTGGATTCTGCCATAAGAGGGAGAGAAGGGGGAGAACAAAAGGGCTTTATGGCCCTCACTTCCTTCAGTATACTTCTAAGGAACTGAATGTGTGTATTGCAACTTCAAAGAGTTTGAATGGGGTTAGCACCAAAAGGCCTTATCATAACAAAGGAGGCTATTTACCTTTCATGTAGTTTATCTGAAGTCTCCATCCAGACGGAAGAAAGGAAAAAAGGGGTGGGATTGTGATGCCTGAAACTGTCACTGGAAGAGGGGGGTGATTGGATGGGACTACTGGGGAACCCCTTAAAACCTCGAATGGGAGAGCTTGAACCCCAAGTCCTGTCTAGAACACCTGCAACCATTTTCTCTTAATAAAGGATCCCTGTTGGAAGAATTATTCCAAGAGTTCTGTCTTCTTAAGATGCAAAGTGGGGTGGGTCCTTACAACTGCTACATTCTGCGCCAGTTAAAATGAATACGCATCCAGGGCAGCTCCATGGAGACCATATTGTAGTGGGCCAATCTGAAGATGATGATGATGACTATCATACTGCTAGTTTTCTAAGATTATAGTTATTATGTATAACATAATACATATGTTATAAGTAATAGTGGATTTTATACTGATAAAGGAACTGGAGTTTGATGTAAGATCTAAACTAAACTGTGTCAAAAAATGAATATTTTTTGTAATATGGTCATTTTATGTTAAAAACATAGAAAGTTAAACTTTGGCTTTACCCAATTGAATTTTGAACTATTATATTCACCAAGAGATTGAATAATATTTTTTTCTTAAATTAAACATCAACTTTTACCTCCAAGCAAAATAAGATCAGAAAGAACAGAACAAATGGAAGATGTTATTTATAGTAGTCAATGTGACTGCAACCAAAACTATTTTTGTCAGTCACTTGGCATTTCCTCTGTCCATTTTTAAACTAGTTGGGGTGGGCAGGGTGGGGAGAGAGAATTATCTCCAGCCTTCTTTATGGTGAGAAAAGAATTGAGTATATACACACAAAAACACACACATCTCAAAATGTTTCACTGGTAAAGGGAACTGAAGACTTTAGATTGATTTGCTCATTTGATATTCTGTTCTTAATGTCTTTCTGCCATAATACAGCTGAATATTGGGATACTTTTATATCTGGAATTTAGCGATGAGCCCAACTTCAAGGCAGAACGTACTTTGAAAGGTAAAGTGGTGGATCCATGATACAAAATAGATAGTAGTTTGAATGTTGAAAAGAGATTTTTTTATCTAGATTTTGAGTGGTAATCATAAGTGACTGCAGGTCATCAAAACATCAGGACTCAGTGACTATAACAATGTGGATGAAGGCTTGCCCCATTTTCCATGCATCACATGGTTGTGGCTGCCATCTTGACTTTTTTTAATCTTCAGGACACCTTGTTAATAATAACTTTCTCTCTCTGCCTCTTTAATATAAAAGATGGTGGATATTGGTCTAAGCCTATTTTCTCATTTTAATAGTAGCAATATCTGCTGACATTTCTAAAATATCAGACTGAAAATACATTTCTTAACTGAATGGTGACATCTATATTTAAGAATAAATTTCAGGGTAAAATGGTTATAATGGTGAATTTGAAAGGGTGGTTAAAATATTAAAACACACAACTTATGTTAAAATCGAGGTGTCACTAGGTGTTGAGAACAATTTGCTGGCACATAATCAGTATTTATGTTAAGATCATGTTCATTAGAATCAGGTAAAACTTTTGAATCTATCTATCTATCTATCTATCTATCTATCTATCTATCTATCTATCTATCTTAAAACTACAGTAACAATTTCTGCATATTGAAATGTATAAGGTTTTGACTTAACGAGCAGCTCTTATTTAGGAAGAGATAGTTTTATCATAATTTATTCAAAAGATCACTTATAATTTAATGATGCCATCCAGTAAAATAAATAAAATAAATATAACAATAAATATTAAATAAAACAATTTATCATTTCTTCCTCAGAACAGAAAATGCAAAATCCATCTGTCACATTATGACAAGCTTGTTTTTAAATGCAAATACATTTTACATCCATGTAGAAAAAGTTGATTGATTGATTAAATCTCAAATTATATCAACAATAATCATACAGTTTTAAAATACAATAACACATGGCTTTTTTATATACAACAAAGGCCATGCTAACATTATCAACAGTCTATAACCAAGTATTGATGTATGCCTTAATCTTCATTTGCTCCAGGCATCATATCAAACAACTTGTTCTTCATAGCTGTCACTAATCAGTTATTGTGCAGAGTATAATAATCATGTGAACATACTACCAACTCATCAACTTAACCACTGATAAGGCACTCATTAGGACATTCCCATCACCTAAAATGTTTATGAAATGTAGCTTTCCAATAACATTCTTTTCTTTCTTTTCTTTAAGTTTTCTATCTCCCTATTGCCCAACTACAGCTGTTTGGGGAATCACTATTGTTAATCATGTAATTGTTGTTTGTTGTAATTCTATCTGTAACATGTTCTACAATATGTAGATGCTTTGACTTCTTGTGTAGTACTATTGATTTTTATTAGTTTATAGCAATTTGAATTTAGTTACTTAGAAACTGGATTGGAACTTGTTAATGTCTTTCAAATATATTATGGTTGGTCACACAGTCAGCCAGTTGTTTAGACTGTGTTTGGCATCAAGTCCTTCCCAAGGACCTAGGATAGGCAAATGTTGTTTGATGGTGTTAAAGCTATCATCATAGGCTGTAAGCTTTCTCCAAGCTGACTTTCATAATTGACTGATTATGATTTTGCAAAGGCCAATGATATTTAAGTGGTGCTCCAGAGGTTTTTGGGTCTGCACCCAAAGCACCTATTAATATTGATACTATATTTGTTTTCTTTTGCCATAATCATTCTATTTATTTTTGCAGGCTTTCGTATCTTGTGATTTTCCCCCCAGTTCTTCCTCCTCTATTCTGCTGTTTCAGGTACTGCAACTTCTACTAGCCAGACTTTTTTGTCTTTCTTATCAATAGTTGTTAGGTCTGGGTGTTATACTGCAGGTGCTTTATTATTATTCTAAATTGTGCATGTTCAGTGTTCATTAGCATTGTTTACCAATGGTAAATATTGATTCCCTGCTTTAAAATCAGATATTCAATGTATGGAAGGTCAAATTGCATATTTTATTTCTTTTGTAATTTGACACAAATATAAATCTTATCCATATTAGTGAACTTTGATAAATATCCCAATGTGGCAGACTATGCTTTTACTTTTGTGCTTTTGATTTTCCATCTGTTGTTCATTATATTATAGAATAGTTATTATTTTATATTAACAAAGGTTCAGAACTTCAAATTAACCACAGGAGAAATATCTTCACTATCGTTTCTTTATAACAGTCTTCCCTTACAGGCCTTTGGAGAATGGCTTATGTATCATATCAAGTCTTTATAGCAGTCATAGACCAGCATAATGACCTAACATATTTAACAAGCCATTGGTCCTATTAATAGGCCAGGGTTCCTTTTGCAATGTCAACTGTAACAGTAATCCTTCTTTCAAATCACAGAGTTTCAAATATCAGCTGCCACTACACAGACTGCTCCCTTTCAGTTTATATCAGAGAACCCAATGGAGTCTTTTGAAGAACCTGGTTATATTGGTAGGGAGAACTTATTAGAAGTTCCTACTTTAAGTGATTGTTTTTCTGAAGAAGAAGATGTTAAAGCTACACATCAGCATCGTTTTTCCCCTGGTCCCCGAAGGCGGAATTCAGATACTTCTGAAGAAATGGAAACAGAAATCCCCTCAACTATTGCAAGAAAAGTTTCATTTGCTGATGCATTTGGTTTTAATCTTGTATCTGTTAAGGAGTTTGATAGCTGGGATAATCCAATTACACAGGCCAGTGATGATTTAGAAGATGAAGATGTGCCTGTGGAAGAATTCTATTTAACTCCACTGTTTCTAATTCCCACTACACAAGAGGAACTTTTGCAATCTGTGCGTGCACATAAAATATGTCTAGAATTTGTAGAGTTTCTTCCAGGCATAATATGTATGAAGGGCATAATTCGTGTTCTGAATATATCCTTTCAGAAGTTGGTTTATGTTCGAATGTCTTTGGACAACTGGCTAACCTATTATGACATCTTAGCAGAATATGTGCCAAATTCTTGTGATGGTGAGACTGACCAATTCTTATTCAAGATTTCATTGGTTCCTCCTTATCAAAAAGAAGGTGCTAAAGTTGAATTTTGCATACGATATGAGACATCTGTGGGAATATTTTGGTCAAACAATAACAATAAAAATTATATTTTGATTTGCCATAAAAAGGGAACTGCATCATCATTGGAGGATAATAGTCTTCAAGAAGTTACAAATAAACATATCAAAGGCTGCTTAAAGACAACACTGAACAGGTGAGATGCTTACTAATTTATTGTAAAACTCTGATTTATAGTTTCCTATAAATGATGATGATATACATACATATATGCAAAGAAACAGTTGAGTATAGAATATTACAGTGCTGATTTTCAAAATAGTATGAAAACTTATATAAGTAAATTTAGACAGATAAAACATCTCATTAATGCGCTATGAAGTTAAGAATAGAGAAACTATGGGAACATTTGAAGAAATTTGGTTATGTTAATTTATCCATTCACAGCTCCTGGCTCTTTACCCCAACTGTGTGACCTGCAAACTATGTGCTTGCAATTTGTTTACAGTTAAATGTGAAATCCAAACTCAGAACAAGGAATATTTCTGGCCAGCTCCTACTAAAGAATCTAATGACACCATTTAGAAAAAGGAGCCAATGGCAAAGCAAGTCCATTTTGACCAATTAGATGTTTTAGTTAACCAGATGTGTAAACCCAAGATATGCACAGTGATCTTCTGTGATCTGCATCCTGACTTTCTGAATTAAGCAGATGAGTATAAAGGAGATTGTAAATATGGCCAATGAAATGCAGTTACAATTTTCTGATGACTGAGTACCTGAACTTCAGAAGGTTCCTTATGAAGAAGAGAATTCTGTTACATGCAAACACTGTTCTTAAATTGATATTTCCCTGCAGTTAGGGAGGTTGATGGGTGGAATAGCTAGTCTAACAGTGTTGCTAGCAACTTCCCTTCATTTAGATTTTTCTTCACACCAGAAGAAAATCTCTGTTTAGGCTCTACTTTCATTCCAGAGAATTATCATTCATTGAAAAAACTGAGTTATAAACTTACATTATTTCTATATAGTTCCCATATTCAAATTAGCTTACATATACATTCAAAATATTTGAAATGTTTTAAAAGATTCAGATTACTTTAACATTTCTCTGATTATCAGATCCTCATTAACTGGTTAGTCTGATCCAGGCTAGGTGATTCTCCCTTTTCCCTATCAGACCATTGTGGTCTGGAAAGCTCCATTCCATATACAGCAGTGGTTCTCAACCTGTGGGTTGGGACCCCATTTGGGGTTGAATGACCATTTCACAGGGGTTGCTAAACAATGTAGTCCGCCATTCCCCCCCCCCTTTTCCTTAGCTGTGCTACTCCCTTTTATTCTATTGGCTTTTGAAAACCAATAGAATAGACTCTCTTGAATAGAGTCTAATTCTATTGGCTTTCAAAAGCCAGTAGGAATTGTCCAGGCTGTCTCTGCCCTACTGAGCCTGCCAAAAGTCCCATTCTGCAAATGGGGCTGCACCAGTTGAGTAGTCCTCGACTTATGACCGGTTGAGTAGTCCTCGACTTACGACCGGTTGGGGGTCATGGCTTTAAAAAGGTTGAGAACCACTGATATACAGTTTCCAGGTTATATATGTTCAGTTTTATTTCAAGGCTACATTGACAATGTCTAGGAGAGATTGCATTTTTCAAGTTCCAAATTTGTCAGGATATTCCACAATTTGTTCATTTGTTCAAATACAATAATTTTATATTTATGATTTTAAGCTTTAGTATTGGACACATTTGCAGAAATAAAATATTCTAAAAATATTCTTAATTAACAGAAATTTATGATACAAATAAGTTTATATAGTGCATTACTAATAATTCATGTAGGCTGAGAACCATAAATGAGCACATCTCACATGTTTACATATCTAGACACAACAGTTACTCAAAAGTGATCTCAGTGCAGCTGAAATTATTAAAGAGTTTAAAGCTCTCCTTGCCCTAGCACTAATTCTTTGCATTCTTTCTTTCTACCTCTTGACTTACGAGTTTTGCATCTATATCTATCTATTTCTAAGATACAAACCAAGGCAAAAGTAAGGCTCAGAAGCACTGTGTCTGTCCCTGAGAGATTTATATTTGCTGAACTGTTGAAAGAAAAACCATCAGGTCCAGTCCAAGCTGGGAATAAATAAAATGGAGGCTGTTTGGAAAGAAGGTTCTTGTTTAATTTAATTGCCAGAAACTTCAGTGACATAGCATGTTTCTAGGGTGGCTGACAAAATGGAGCTGGGAGTGGATGGGTTTTTATACCTTCTTGGAGTTTTGTGTTTGGAGTTGTTCCTGTTCCTGTGCAATGTACTTTGATCTGAGCTTGAGTGTGCCCTTTTGGTATTCTAATCATGATGATTTAATGCTATTATGTCCTAAAGGTCATGTTCCTGTCCTTGGAGTCTTTGTTTTTTAATCCCCTCAGCTCCAGCCTTCTATGGGGGCTGTGGCTGAAGGCATTTTGCTTATGAATGGTGTGGCCCAGTCTTTCTGAATAGGATTGCCAAATCTGCATTTCTAAAGAGCTGGCCTGCTCAGTTTCTGCTTGGAGGAAAGGGAGACTGGTTTCTGCCTTTTAAGATTTTCTCCCATTATTCCTTTGGGAAAATATAATATTCTGCCTTTTTTTTAAATATCGCCCCAAATATTTCCTTCTTTGGGGGGAGGGTGGGGGGTTCTGACTTACAACAATCCCCCCCTTGTGCCATATAAGTGTGGGTGACCCACTTTTACTTGCACAAGATTAAGAATTGATCTGTTCAGGGAGACTTGATGGATGCTTCTATGGGGGGGGGGTCCAGGATGTGGAGAAATAAGCTTTTAAACCATTAATGCAAAGGAAAAGGCACTGATAGAAGCAGCAGAAAAGGGTCTCTGCATTGGCTCCCCAAAAAGGGGAGTTTTCAACTCATGAAGGTCTAGAAGCCAGGGCAAAAGTTCTGTTAGCTAGAAAAGAAATTTATAATGTGCAATATTCTGTACCAATTCTTTTAGATGTTTGATGTCACTTCCTGTGAGCTTTCAGTCAGATTTTCACATGTCCAAAAATTCCTCACAGCCATGTTTTGCCTCAGTACATAACCACTGGCTGCCCATTTTCAAAGGGTTGCTTCCTGAACCTGCCTCAGCTCCCAATTTAGTACATCCGGGTTTGTGATGTCCAATTGAGGTTAGCAGTGTGCAACCCAGGCTATTAATATTTTTTAAATTGCACACAGTGAGCCTAGGCAGTGGTGGGATTCAGCCGGTTAGTACCACTTTGACAAAACCAGTAGCTAATTTTTTGTTGCCCATGCCCAGAGTGGACTTCCAGAAGTGGCAACCACACAGAGAACTGGTTGTTCATATATTTGAATCCCACCACTGGCCCTAGGACTCCCACTAATGAGACCATCAGTACAACATATTCAGGGCTTGGGTTTAGAAATCTCTTTCCTGAAACCTCCTCAGTGAGGGCATATGAATTGTAAATAGCCTGAGGGAGCATGGTTCCCTCCCTCAGGCTATTTACATTTGCATGCAAAGGCCTTAGTGCCACAGAGCAAGAACCAGCCTAGAGAGCATTACATGGAGGTAGGTGAAGGGGATAGCCTCAGTGTGATTCTGAATGATGTTTGTATGTCTGTGTCTGTGTGCAGCTACCAATAAAAACATCCTGGACAAATTTTCCTCCCACCAGACAGAAGTCCAAGGTATTCAGGACTTGCTGTGCCAACCATTCCCAAATGCCATCCCTCCATGAACCCATTTGACTACTTAATTACAAATGAATGAGGCAAGAAAGAAAACCTTACAATGAGTGTCTGCCCTTCCCCGATAGTCTTTCTAGTTGTTTTTTGAGGCTTCACATGGGGGACAATGGATCCAGAAATCTGTCCTTCCTCTGAACATTTCACTGACATCTGGGTGATGTGGGACTTGTGAAGATATGTTCCACTCTGGTTGCATGGTGACTTTCTAGTAGATGGCTGGATTCAAACCCAATTCCCTGGCTCAAATGAATGGAGGCAACATATAGGTCAGTGTGCTCTGATTCCAAAGGTTGTAGAGGTCATCTGTGCAGGGCTGAAAGATATGAGAATGCCCCCCCCTTTCTCCTTTGTAGGTGACATTCCTAGGGGAGGCATTGCTGGTCAGACATGAGGAATGGAGAAAAAAAGATAAGAATTAGAGAAGTGGAATGGGGCTATGTGGATAGTTTGCAGGCAGAGTTTGAAAAGACATTACGGTTAACTTTACAGATGTTAATAGACAGATAAAACCCATTTAAATGCATACAGTAAATACAATAATGAAATGTTTCCTGCAAATGAACGTAAAACATTCCCTCCTCTTGTTAAAAGCACAGAGAGGGGGAGACTTCCAGTTTTGCACTGTAGAGCATAGCAGAGGGATTACAGAGCTCCACACCCTCAGCTAGTTTTGCCCTGCCAGGGGACTCTAAATGGGTCTAAAGTTATCCCAGAGAGGTGATGAAGAAAGAGGGGCACCCCAATGATCGTGGAATGATGGCAGTCATCCCACTCAATCCAGGGGAAGCCCTCTAACCCGACAGGAGAAAGGCTGGCCACACCTCAGTGATCAGCCGAACTTGCAGCCGAAGTCCGAAGGCACTAACCAGAACAACAGTGAACAGCGTGCTTGAAACTGGGTGAAGAATTCGATTTTCTCTCTCCTATTTTGTATCTGATTTCCTGGAAAGGATTCCCAAGAAGCAAAAATCCTCCCAAAGTGACAAGGGAGGGGACTATTCCCCCACCCTCCCATAGACAGAAGCAGTGAATTAAACTCTTATGGGGAACAAAAATATATTGAAATGAGATTAAAAATGCTACAGTCTGGATAAATTTGAAAATTAAGAAAACTATTAAAATTCCATACCTGAAAAAGTATTGAAATAATAATAATAATAATAATAATAATAATAATAATAATAATAATAATAATTGCCTGTAAGCAAAAACTGGTGGGATCATAAAATAGAGAAAGTCATAGAAAATGATAAAATTAAACTGCTCTGGGACTTCAGAATTCAAACAGACAAGCACCTGCAACATAACACCCCAGACTTAACAATTGTCGATAAGAAAGACAAAAAAGTCTGGATAGTGGATGTGGCAGTGCCTAGAGACAGCAGAATAGAAGAGAAAGGGCTGGAGAAGATAACAAAATACAAAGACCTACAAAT